GGCTGTCGCGGTGCCGCAGCGTGTGCGCCGCCTGGCTCCGCTGGCCGTACTGGTACTCGCTGTGCGAGTAACGGACCCGCTCGGGGCTGCTGTCGGGGGAGATCTCCAGTCTCCGCAGAGGCTGCCTCAGGGACCTGTCTTCCACGGACTTCTGTGAGCTGTACTGCGCGGTGCCTCTCCCCCAGGGCTCCGCTGGCCGTACTGGTACTCGCTGTGCGAGTAACGGACCCGCTCGGGGCTGCTGTCGGGGGAGATCTCCAGTCTCCGCAGAGGCTGCCTCAGGGACCTGTCTTCCACGGACTTCTGTGAGCTGTACTGCGCGGTGCCTCTCCCCCAGCGACCTTCATACGCCGTGGTTATGCCTGACTGCACGAGGGAGAGAGAAAGGTGAAATGAGGCCTCAGTCAGTCTCCATCTCTGTTGCAGACTCACTATCCCGGGACTCTTACACAAGGGGTCCCTTTCTCTGAATCACCTGGAGAAGCTGGGCCCTTTCTGGGTAAAATCTGTTTCTAAACAAGACGTGGTTAACCTGGTTTGACGCGTTATTTGCACCAGGATTTGAGGCTGTTTCAATGTCCAGTTTTCTACAGTGTCCACACAAAATCAATCTTCCCATAATTCATTTAGAAAGTAGCAGTATTTCGGAGAGGCAACATTAAAAACTAATCTGTGGGAGATGGAAAATGTTTCTGATAACTAGTGTTGCGTTCTTTGGCATCCTACCTTTCGCCTGTCATAGGTTTTAGGAGCCGGGGAATGCCCGCCAGCAAAGTCATTTTCCACCAAGTGCAGGTTGTAGACATACTCAGGAACACTGCTGGCTCGGTGAAGATTTCCTGCAATCAAGCACGTACATTAAAATAATGTAGTAGTTAAACACTGTATAACAGTAGCATATTTTAAGAGTGAGTATTAAGGCCAAAAACAAGTATTAGATTTATATTAGTGTTTTTACATGCTGGTGTAACATTATCCTTGGATGTAGCAAAGGATGAAAGGTTGTTATCACAGCATTATCTACAAGCTTTTCAAAATAAAAGTTGAATTAAAAGAAAAATATATAATTAAATATTTTAAAGGAAAGCAAAGAAAAGGGAGAGGAAATTTTCACAAATATAAAAGAAGTGACTATTTGTTACAATGCTGAGAAATCTGGGGATCACTTATTGGCTTAGGTGGGTCTATACTATAAAAATTCAGCTTCTTGGCCTGGCTGGTGTGGCTCAGTGGTTGAGCCTGGGCCTATGAACCAGGAGGTCACAGTTCCATTCCCAGTCAGGGCACATGCCCAAGTTGTGTACTTGATCCCCAGTAGGGGGTGTGCAGGAGGCAGCTGATCAATGATTCTCATCATTGATGTTTCTCTCTTTCCCTCTCCCTTCCTCTCTGAAATCAATAAAAATATACTTCAAAAAATAAAAAATAAAGTTCAGCTTCTTAAGTCAGAGAACTCTATTCCCAGGGCAGGACCCCAGAAGCTGCCTGAGAAGGCAGTAGGTGTAGGCAATAAATATAAGGGTGACTCAACAATACTAGATAAGATAGCTTGTATAAACAACAAGGTGGCTCAGTGTGGTCAAAGTAAACAAGGACCTGCTTCAAAAGACCAAGCCTGGGGGGAGGGGGAGGGAGGGGCGGGGAGGTATTTGGCCGTCTGAGAGCGAGACAGGAGAGGAAATCAGCCTCTGCCCTACAAATGAGTACATTTTTAGAATGAGCTGGGTTGGCTCATTCTTAGTTTGGTGATCTAACAGCCAGCCCACTCTGCTGTGAACACAGCCTTTCCTGCTCAGTCCTGGGGGCCCACAGGGACTCTCAGCTGATGTGTCTCTTAAAGCACTCCTCTGAGGAGCGGGTGGTGGAAGACTGTTGTCACCGTCTTCTACAACTTGACCCTTCTCCCATCTTGTTATTTGCTCCTTTATAATCTCCCACTGCCTTCTCTCTCTCCCTCTCTCTCTCTCTCTCTCTCTCTCTCTCACACACACACACACACACACACACACACACACACACACACAAGCTGGTCAAAATAATCAAAGATCTCTAAGACCTAGGAAATTTCTGATTCCCTAATTTTAGCCTAGATTTTTCTTTCCAATACAATTGGAACACACCAACATATTTTCTCAATACATTGTTATAAAGTCAATGTTTCAAAGATAGATTCACAAGTTATTTTGAGGGAGGAGGGAATGGAGATTGTTGTGTGAGAGCACTAAGAAGAATGAATCCATCCCAAAACATGCGTGTACATGTGTCTTATTTCCTGGAGCTAAACAATCTGGCTTGGTAAACAAGTTTTAGGCCTGGAGGGGTCCTTGGGGAGGCAGTGCAGGTTTGTAAATGTCACTCTAAAGACTAGAGAAGTTGAGGTAAGCCAGGCCTGATTTCTAGGGGGCTGATTTCTCCACAAGGGATGGTAAAAGGTCAAGTAGCCCCTTAACTTTTAACCTCAATGACAGAAAATGCCTAAAATTGGGACAATGAATGGGGGAAAGGAATTTTCTCTAAGACCCCAGAGCAAAGGTTGTGAGTGGCCTTAGGCTGAGCTCTCAATGCCTACCTCCGGCTCCTGCTCAGGCTGCCCGAAGTCCCTAACTCTGCCCCCACTCAACATTCCCTCTGTCCTCCACTCCCACCCCAAATCCATCCCAGACTTTCAGGGAGGCAGGGCTGCAAGGGTCCTGCTGGTATGGGAAAGGAGGCTAAGTGAGCAGGTCCAGGGAATATGCTGGCTCTAATTCTGAAAGGCCTGGGAACCAGGGAGTCCGCAGCAGTGGGGTGTGGTGAGGGGGTGAGCAGGGGCAGGGGAGTGCTTAAACTCTGCCCCCCCTCCAATAAAACAGAAGCCTTTTCTACAGAGGTTATGGTGAGAAAATTATTGGTCAGTTGATATATAAGAAACTAAATTTATTACTTTAATAAAAAGTAGTTTAGTTTACTGGGTGGGAATGCTGACTGGTGCAGCCACTGTGGAGAACAGTATGGAGATTTCTCAAAAAACTAAAAATGGAACTCCCATTTGACCCAGTGGTCCCACTTCTAGGAATATATCCCAAGAAACCAGAAACACCAATCAGAAAGGATATATGCACCCCTATGTTCATAGTGGCACATTAGCTCATTAGTTCATAGCTAAGATTTGGAAACAGCCTAAGTGCCCATCAGTAGGTGAGTGGATTAAAAAACTGGCACATCTACACAATGGAATACTACACTGCTGTAAAAAAGAAGGAATTCTTACCATTTGCAACGGCATGGATGGAACTGGAGAGCATTATGCTAAGCGAAATAAGCCAGTCAGAGAAAGATAAATACCACATGATCTCACTCACTTATGGAACATAATGAACAACACAAACTGATGAACAAAAACAGATTCAGAGACAGAGAAGCATCAATCAGACCGTCAAACCTCAGAGGGAAGGTATCGGAGGGTGGGGTAAGGGGGAGAGATCAACCAAAGGACTTGTATGCATGCATATAAGTCTAATCAATGGACACAGACACCAGGGTGGTGAGGGCATGAGTGGGGGAGGGGGGGATGGGGCAATGGGGCGATAAGGACACATATGTAATACCTTAATCAATAAAGAAAAAAAAGTAGTTCAAGGTTATCCATGTTCAGAATTTTAGACTGTATGAAAACTAAGTATATGAAAGGCAGGGACAATCCAGAATGGGAAAATCCTAATGGCAAATATGGATGGCTGCCAGAACGATTAATTCCTGTTACTCTATACTAAAATGGCAGATGATGAAAGGAATTTAGGAATTCAACATTTCTTCAATGGGTCCCTCTAGCCTGGCGTCCCTGCAGTGTCCAGGAACAAGTAGATATTCAT